CCCTCCCTCCCTCCCCTCCCTCTCTCTCTCTCTCTCTCTCTCTCTCTCTCTCTCCTCTCTCTCTCTCTCTCTCTCTCTCTCTCTCTCTCTCTCTCTCTCTCTCTCTCTCCTCTCTCTTCTCTCCTACTCCTCTCTCTCCCCCCTTTTTTTATTTTTCTCTTTTCCCTCTCTTCTCTTTTTTCCTTTTCCCCTCCTTCTCTTCCCCTTTTCCTCTCTCTCTTTCCCTCTTTCCCCTTTTCCCTCCTCTCTCTTTCCCTTTTTCCCTCTCTCTTTTCCCTTTTCCCTCTCTCTCTTTCTTTTCCCTTCTCTTCCCTTTCCTCTTCCTTTTCCCTCTCCCCTCTCTCTCTTTTTCCCTTTTCCCCTCTCTCTTTCCCTTTTCCCTCTCTCTCTTTTCCCCTTTTCCTCTCTCTCTTTCCCTTTTCCCTCTCTCTCTCTTTCCCTTTTCCCTCTCTCTCTTATTTCATCTCCTCCCCCAACTCTCTCTCCCTCCCTCTGTCTCTGTCTATATCTCTGTCTCTCCCTTCCCCTTTCCTTCTTTCCCTCTCGCCCCCCTTCTCTCCCTCAGCATCTTTCCCCCCTACTCTATATCCCTTTCCTTTCTCTCCTCTCACCTCCCCCCCCTCCCTTCCCTCCTCCCCAAGCACGCCCTGCAGGGATGTACCTAAAAATACCGCCGCAGGAAGTGACGTCTGGGCATGAAGTCCGGGTGTCACAACAGGTGTGTTGATCATGTGCCCCTCCTTCGCCGTGCGCCCTCGGCCCCGTGTTCGTTTTTATTATCCGCTATTGTGTATGTATATCTATAAACACACACATACACACAACACACACACACACACACACACACACACACACACACACACACACACACATACATATATATATATATATATATATATATATATATATTATATATATATATATATATATACACATAAACTTTATACGTATACATATACATGTGTGTTTGTGTATTCTACCCATTTCCTTTGTTTCGTGTCCTTGCGTGTGCCCGTTATCATTATCACGCCCTTTTTCTCAGGCTGTTTTTCATTTCTCGCCTCTCCTTTTTTGTCTCTCCTCCTCTTCCCATTCACATGCTACGTTCTGCTCTTTAGGCGCCTCTCCCGCCCCTTTAACTTCGCTTGCGTAATTCTCCTTTCGCGTCCCCTATTCTTATTAACCACTTATTCATCCTTTATCCGTTTGTGTTGTATACTTCCTTCAACACTCCTCCTTCGTACCCTAACACCCCCCATCTCCCTCCCCTCCCCCACTCCCAGCTCATATCACTCCTTCCCCTCCCATTCGCCCCTTCTTCCCCTCCCCACCCTCTTCTCCCTCTTACCCTCTCTTCTCTTCCCTCTCCCCCTCGTTTTTTTTTCTCTCTCTCCTTCCCCTCCCCCCCCAACTTCCTTCTCGTCCATCATCCGTCTTACCCCCCCCCCCATTTCCCTCCTCCATCCCCTTCGTACCCCAACCACTGTGTGCCTCCGAACAAGTGACTCACCCCCGGGCTCCACAGGTGTTCGTACCCCCACCCTCCCCCTCCCCACCCGCCAAGGCTGCTTTGGTCACCACAAACACGGTTTGCCAACGTGTGACCTCCTTTCCCTTCATGTTCTATTCTTCTCCTTCTTGCTCTATGCAATCGCCGAGTGTACGTCATTTGGCCTATTACTTTGTCCGTTTACTAAATTGCCAATTCCCCGTCCACCCCCCACCCCCACCCCACCCCGTTTCATCTATTTTGTTCGCCAATTTCCTCCCCGTTCCATCTACTCTCGTTCCTTTGTTCTGTTTTTGTTTTCTCTTCCTCTCTTTTCCTGTGTTTGTTTCTTTCACTCATATTCACGGTCGCGATGTTCTTGATAATGTAAAGTCTATTGTAGTTTCGCGGTCTCCTATTCAATACACGCATGCATATAGTTGCATATATATAAATACATTCATACATACATGCATACACACTACTCACAACAGTTACACGATATACAATGAATGACTCATAGATGCAAGGATACATACCAAAACAGACTGACACAAATTCATGGATATACTACATCCGTGCACAACTGACGAAAATACTTGGATAAATTCACAGCCTCACTCACAGATATATGGATATAAACATACCCGGACTCATGGATACATACATACACAGACTCATAGATACATGGATACAAACATACACGGACTCATGTGAATACATACATACACAGACTCACTCGTAGATACATAGATGCAAACATACCCGGATTCATGAATACATACATACACAGACTCATGCGAATACATACATACACTCGCAGATACATGGATACGTACACACAGACTCACAAAATGATAACCGAAGGGACAAAGAAGCCAAATAAATCGGAGAGACGGCAAGCAAATTGGCTCGCGAGACGATAACAGAAAAGCAGCCAGACACGCTAAAGAAAGATTCGCTGACTTGCTGACACCCAGATTGCCAGGCTGACGAAAGAGGGTATGAGGCTGATATACGTTGTTTGCTTGCCTGCTTGCTCTCGCTCTCTCGCTCTCTCTCTCACTCTCTGTCTCTCTCTCTGTCTCTGTCTCTACCTCTCTGTCTCACTCTCACTCTCACTCTCACTCTCTGTCTCTGTCTCTCTCACTCTCTCTCATTCTCTCTCACTCTCTCTCTCACTCACTCACTCACTCACTCACTCTCTCTCTCTCACTCACTCACTCACTCACTCACTCACTCACTCTCTCTCTCTCTCCCTTGTCTCTGTCTCTGTCTCTGTCTTCTCTGCTCTGTCTGTCTGTCTGTCTGTCTCTCACTCTCTCTCTCTCTCTCTCTCTCACTCTCTCTCTCTCACTCTCACTCTCTCTCTCTCTCTCTCTCTCTCTCACTCTCTTCTCTCTCTCTCACTCTCTCATTCTCTCTCTCTCTCTCACTCTCATTCTCTCTCTCTCACTCTCATTCTCTCTCTTCTCACTCTCATTCTCTCTCTCTCTCACTCTCATTCTCTCTCTCACTCTCACTCTCATTCTCTCTCACTCTCACTCTCATTCTCTCTCACTCTCACTCTCATTCTCTCTCCTCTCTCAACTCTCACTTCTCTCTCACTCTCACTCTCTTCTCTCTCACTCTCACTCTCATTCTCTCTCACTCTCACTCTCACTCTCTCTCACTCTCACTCTCTCTCTCTCTTCGCCTATCCGTATTTCTCTCCCTGCCTCTCTCCCTCTTCTTTCGCCCATTAGTCCCGGCCACATCACGTAAATAGTTCCACGGCCGTCTTCTCTTTTTTCCGCCCTGCCGAAAAGGCCAGAAATGACTCATATCTCGGTACGGGGAAAATATCATGACCGACAAAAGTAGATGATAATTACTTCCGCGCCAGAATAATAATTGAATGCGAACGAAAATTAAATAAAGATAATATAATACAGAGTCATTGAAATTATTATATACAGCGTGTATATATACTTATGCGGAACCTATATACACATATATATCATAAAACGTGTGTACGTGTGTGTGTGTGTGTGTGTGTGTGTGTGTGTGTGTGTGTGTGTGTGTGTGTGTGTGTGTGTGTGTGAGTGAGTGAGTGAGTGAGTGAGTGAGTGAGTGAGTGAGTGAGTGTGTGTGTGTGTGTGAGTGAGTGAGTGAGTGAGTGAGTGAGTGTGTGTGAGTGAGTGAGTGAGTGAGTGAGTGATTGAGTGTGTGAGTGAGTGTGAGTGTGAGTGTGAGTGTGTGTGTTGTGTGTGTGTGGTGTGTGTGTGTGTGTGTGTGTGTGTGTGTGTGTGTGTGTGTGTGTGTGTGTGTGTGTGTGTGTGTGTGTGTGTGTGTGTGTGTGTGTGTGTGTGTGTGTGTGTGTGTGTGTGTGTGTGTGTGGCCGAAATATCATTTCTTTACTTAGAAAATAAATCACAACCACAGTTATAACAATAGCAACAGCAACAACATGCCTTTTGCTAAATAATTCCAGCAACGATCATTACCCCAACCCCACCCCAGACACACAAAAGTAATAAATAATGCCCCTAAACTAAAACAGAAACACAAGCAGTTAATCCTTTGGGTACCCACGGCGACGCAATACCCAGAGCCACGTGACTTGGGTACCGGATACCCGTAAAACCCGACGGGGGACGTGCCGCAGCGAGGCCTTCTCCCACGGAGCTTGTCCCACGACGGGCAGTCCGTTCCCCACGCTCCCACTCCCAAGCCCCAACCCACTGCCACTGCCACTCCCCACACTCCTATGCCCATCCCACTGCCATTCCCCACACTCTCAAGCCCAAACCCACTGCCTTTCCCACTCCCCACACTCCTATACCCAACCCACTGCCTTTCCCACTCCCCACACTCCTAAGCCCAACCCACTGCCTCTCCCACTCCCCACACTCCTATGCCCATCCCACTGCCTCTCCCACTCCCCACACTCCTAAGCCCAACCCACTGCCTCTCCCACTCCCCACACTCCATGCTGCCTCTCCCATCCCACACTCCTATGCCCAACCCACGCCTTCCCACTCCCCACACTCCTATGCCATCCCATGCCTCCCACTCCCCACATCCTATGCCCATCCCACTGCTCTCCCATCTATGCCCATCCCACTGCCTCTCCCACTCCCCACACTCCTATGCCCAACCCACTGCCTTTCCCACTCCCCACACTCCTATGCCCAACCCACTGCCTCTCCCACTCCCCACACTCCTATGCCCAACCCACTCCCCACACTCCTATGCCCAACCACTGCCTTTCCGCCACTCCCCACACTCCTATGCCCCAACACCTGCCTCTCCCACTCCACACTCCTACCCAACCCACTGCCTCTCCCACTCCCCACACTCCTAAGCCCAACCCACTGCCTTTCCCACTCCCCACACTCCTATGCCCAACCCACTGCCTCCCACTCCCACACTCCTATGCCCAACGCCAACTCCCACCTGCCCCACTCTCCAAGCCAACTCCCACATATATGCCAACCCACTGCCTTTCCCACTCCCCACAGCTCCTATCCCAAACCACTGCCTCTCCCACTGCCCACTCCCCCCACACCCCTCTCCCACCACGCTCACTCACCCTTGCCTCCACTCCACCACACTCCTATAACCCAAACCCACTGCCTCCCCATCCCACACTCCTATGCCCAACCCACACTGCCTCTCCCACTTGCCCCACACCCTATGCCCAACCCACTGCCTCTCCCCACTCCCCACACGCCTCTATGCCAACCACTGCTTTCCCATCTCCCACACTCCTATACCCAACCCACTGCATCTCCACTCCCCAAACTCCATGCCAACCCACTGCCCTCCACTCCCGCCCAACCCACTCCTCTCCACTCCCAAACCCATCCCCAACCCACTGCCTTTCCCACTCCTCACACTCCTATGCCCAACCACTGCCTCTCCACTCCCCACACTCCTATCCCACCCACTGCCTCTCACCACCCCCACACTCCTTGGCCAACCCACTGCCTCTCCACTCCCCTCACTCTATGGCCCAACCACTGCCTCTCCCACTCCCTCACTCCTATGCCAAACCCACTGGCCTCTCCCACTCCCATCACTCCTATGCCCAACCCACTGCTCTCCCACTCCCCTCACTCCTATGCCCAACCACCTGCCTCTCCCACTCCCACTCCTATGCCAACCCACTGCCTTTCCCACTCCCCACACTCCTATGCCCAACCCACTGCCTTCCCACACCTCCAACAACCCAGCCACTGCCTTCCCACTCCCCACACTAAGCCCAACCCACTGCCCTCTCCACTCCCCACACTCCTATCCCAACCCACTGCCTCCCACTCCCCACACTCCTATGCCCAACCCACTCTCCACTCGCCCTTCCTAATGCCCACCCACTGCCCCCACTCCCCCACTCCAATCCCAACCCAACTGCCTCTCCCACTCCCACACTCCTACCCAACCCATGCCTCCACTCCCTCACTCCTATGCCCAACCCACTGCCTCTCCCACTCCCTCACTCCTATGCCCAACCCACTGCTCTCCCAGCCCAACCCACTGCCTGCCCAGCCCCCCACTGCACTCCTATGCCCCACCCACTGCCTTTCCCACTCCCCACACTCTAGCCCAACCACACTGCTCCCCACTCCCCACACTCCTATGCCCATCCCACTGCCTCTCCCACTCCCCACACTCCTATGCCCAACCCACTGCCTCTCCCACTCCCCACACTCCTATGCCCAACGCCCTGGCCTCTCCCACTCCCCACTCCTATGCCAACCCACTGCCTCTCCCACTTGCCCCAACACTCCTATGCCCAACCCACTGCCTCTCCCACATCCCCACACTCCTATGACCCAACCCATCCTGCCACTCCACTCCCCTCACTCCTATGCCCACCCACTGCTTCCCACTCCCCCACACTCCTATGCCAACCCACTGCCTTTCCACTCCCACAACTCCATACCCAACCCACTGCCCACACTCCCCACTGCCTATGCCATCCACTGCCCCACTCCCACACTCCTAATGCCCCCACTGCCTCCCACTCCCCACACTCCTATATCCACAAACCACTGCCTCTCCACCCTCTCCCACACTCCCTATGCCATCCCACGCCCTTTTTTTTCCCACCCCAGGCCAAAAAAACCTTAACCACCCCCCACCTCCTATGCCCCAACCCACTGCCTACCCACTCCCCACACTCCTATGCCCACCACTGCCGTCTCCCCACTCCCGACAACACTCCTATGCCCAAAACCACTGCCTTTTCCCACTCACCCACAACTCACATAACCCAGCCCACTCCTTCACTCCCACACTCCTATACCAACCCACGCCTCTCCACTCCCCTCACTCCTATCCACCCACTGCCTTTAACGCCTCCCACACTCCTAACCAACCCACGACTTCCCACCCCACTCCACTGCCTATACCACCCACTGCCTCTCCCACCCAACACACTCCCTATGCCAAACCCATGAATCTCCCACTCCCCTAACCTCTATGCCCCAACACTTGCCTCTCCCACCCCCTCACTCCTAATACCAACCCACTGCCATCTCCACTACCTCACTCCTATGACCCAACCACACTGGCCTCTCCTCCCCAACACCTATGCCCAAACACAACTGACCTTTCCACTCCCCCAACACTACCTATGCTCACGGCCACTGCCTCTCCACTCCCGCACAGCCCTATCCACAAACCCACTGCCTCTCCCACTCCCCACACTCCTATGCCCAACCCACTGCCTCTCCCACTCCCCACACTCCTATGCCCAACCCACTGCCTCTCCCACTCCCCACACTCCTATGCCCAACCCACTGCCTCTCCCAACCACTGCCCGACACACTCCTATGCCCAACCACTGCCTCTCCCACTCCACACTCCTTATGCCCAACCCACTGCCTTTCCCACTCCCCACACTCCTATACCCAACCCACTGCCTCTCCCACTCCCCACACTCCTATGCCCAACCCACTGCCTTTCCCACTCCCCACACTCCTATACCCAACCCACTGCCTCTCCCACTCCCCTCACTCCTATGA